CTGCATCATGCTCAGCAACATCATGTTTTCGGATGATGCGAGGTACTGGTCCACATTCATCGTATCCATCACCCGGCAAATGCGCGCCACGCCGTTGCTGGCCATGGCTCCCATACATTGATATTGCCGTCGCGGCGCTTCACAGTTTTGCGGGTGCATGTGCCAGCCAGAGCCTATCCTGTCCACCTCCTGACGTAAACTGCATCACCAGAGCCCTTGAGGTTGATTTTAGACTCATCAGTCCACAGAAATTACCACCAGTCATCACTGCTCCAGTCCTTGTGCGTCTATACAAATTTAAGGCGTTTTGCCTTATTCACAGCACTGATGAAGGGCCATTTGATGGCCATACAGCCACGTAGGCCTGCTCTCTGCAACTTGCGTCTCACAGAACGCACAGAAATCGCGTTATCACCGTCGCTCACCATCTCAGCTCGCAGGCAGTGACGGATTTGAGGCGATTCGCCATTGACTTCATGATATGGTGGCGATCTTGTCTTGCACTGGTCTCTCTTGGTCGGTCTGATCGTGGTGAAATGTAGTCAATTTTTGTTTCCTGACAATTCTACGTATCGTAGGATTACTCAAATCCAACAGAGGAGCGATACCACGCCAAAAGAGACCGTCAACACTCAGCTTCACGACCATTTCCCTCACATCCTTGCTAATCTGACCTCGGTTCACTAAATTGGCTGAAAATACCATCTCCGTCGTCAAAATAATCAAGTTTGATATCGCAAACTCTCGAAGTGAGAAGTCAAGTGTTGATTTTCAACTAACTTTCCCGGCACGTGCATCAGCCTGACAACTTTTTTGAAACCGTACGGTACGGTACAGCAAAATTAATATTTGGTCACGTGGCCATAAGTTTTGACCCACCCAAATGTATGGTGATCCATCACAAATCTCAGTTGACAACGGATTCTTGCAAATTTTAGTGTCCTTGCCAAGTTTCAATCGGCTTTGGCCTCAAAGAAGTCAAAAACGGCGTGTTTAGGAGCCAGGCTGAGCTGTACTGACGATTCCATGGTGGGTCAAAACTTTTGGCCACCACTGTACCACGCAAAACTCTTACCAGGCTCATTTGTCCTCTGCCTTCACCTTTGCTTGAACAACACAACAATTCAGGAATGTTTTGCAATGAAAAATACAGCTATCTGGATGGAGCTGATAAAAAGAAGAAAAATTGCCCTCAGAATTTCACACCACACCAGGGAGTTGTCAAATACTTGCAGTACATGGACTGTATTTGACAACTTCCTGATACACATGTAAACATGAAGAAACTCTTTGTGGTAGCACTCTTTTAAATTTTCAACTGAAATTATGATTCTGCTGTGTTTTATTGTGGTTGCCATGTCTATTGCTATGGCGATGACGTGCCGGCACTAGGCACGGGCAGATTATGCCGGCATAATTTGGCATCCTTTCGGAGGTAGGAGCATACCTACATTGTACTTGATTGTACCACAGTTCTAGTTTATAGGCTACACATATTGTACTTTAATATGGCCACTTGCAAGTACGAAAAAGTCACAATTTTCGCTTTGGGGCTCCATAAGTAGGGATCTCAGCGCGTGCAGTGCGCAGGGTGTTTGCGCATACATTGCGTCATCGAGTTTTGAGTGCAGCTCGCCGACACAGGCTGAAAATGGCGACGGTCGATTTTCGACACTAGCGCGGACGCGGTGGACACTAGCGGAATCGTCATCTTCATCGTCGTTCGAACATACTTTGCCGAAGGACAGCGTGGCCAAGGCGATATCGCCCCAGTCGATTTTCCTATAATTTGCCATGCGGCAAGAACCCACTTCAGAGAGGATTCAGTCGAAAATTCAGACGTTTTCTCCGGTTAGATTGTCCTAACTTCGATTTTCAGTGCATCAGCCATCGCGAACATCGCCGCCATTATCACTCAGAGAGAAGACATTTTTTTTTTTTTTTTTTTTTTTTTTATACGAAAGTCCACTATATTCCCGAATATGTGCGAGAAGTGGTGGCGGGGCCAGGCTGCTCTGCCGACCTCAAAGGTCTCGGCGTCTACGCAGACAAAGCGCGCCATAATGCAGTAAAACCATGTAGAGAGGAGGAAGAGGGGAAATGAATAATAGTGAGAAACAAGGACAATGGGTAGATGGTCGTGAGAGAAGCAGAGTGAAAGATAACGTCACATTGTGGTAAGGGGGGGGGGGGGGAGGATGCTAGTGAGGCACTGGTCTAAACCGTTTCATAGGGCGTCGGTGGCTGCTTGCCAGTTCAGGTGCAGCAGATACTTGTTGCATTTTACTTTGAATAATTGGAGCTGGCTGGGTTGCGGCCGTGCTGGTAGAATGGTCGCTGGTAGGCTGTTCCACAAGGGAATAATGCAGTCTGGGTAGGAGCCCTGGAGGCTGCTACGAATGCGCACGGGCAGCGTCGACTTCAGCTGGAGTGGGTGGCAGTGGGCAGTCTCCGTGGCTAACCTAGTGGATCGACCACCCACTGGGCGGGGATTGGCTGGAGGTGGGAGGATGGGCTTCAGGGGGCTTGTTGTTGGAAGGTAAGACAGCTTGAACGTGAACGAAAGCGCAGCAACCAGTCGGCGGTGTTTCAGGCTGGGGAGCCAGGCGCCTGGGCCAATCACCTTCAGTGCCTTGTGCTGGATTTTGTCCAGTCTGGATGTACCTGACCCCATCCACACCAGGCAGCAGTATTCCATTGTTGGCCGCACGAAGCCTTTGTAGACTGCCGTGCGGCCGCTGGAGTCCAACAGGGGCGCAACCTTTCTCAGGAAGTGTAGGCGTTGGGCAGCCTTTGAGGCCACGGCCCGGAGGTGTGCTGCGTAGGACAGTTGCGAGTCGAATGCTATGCCCAGAAGTTTAATTTCCTTCTCTTCAGGAACAGTCACTCCATTGAAGAGCACTGGTGGGAACGCTGGGGGAGGCTTGCGGTGGTCGATGATGAGGGCCTGAGATTTGGATGGCTCGAAGGTGACCTTCCACTTGGAACCCCAGTGGGAGACGGCGTCCACTGCTTCCTGGAGTTGTGCTGCAGAGTCGGATATGCTGGCGGTGGCAGAGATGCACTGATACAGTGTCGTGTCATCTGCATACGTGGCAAGCTCAGCACCAGCAGGCAAGGTGTCCTCGCAGTCATTCACGTACAGGAGGAATAACGTTGGTCCAAGGATGCTACCTTGTGGTACCCCTGCTTGGATATGGTGCAGGGAGGACTCTTGGCCGCCCACAACAGCCTGCAGGCGCCGGTTGTGCAGGTAGCTTTCCAGCCATCCGAGAAGCGGGCCGTCTAGACCGTACACGGAAGCCTTATGCAGCAGGCCAGCATGGCTGACTTTATCAAAGGCGCCTGCTATGTCTATCGCCAAAACATGGGCGGCTCCTCCTAGGCCGGCTGCTCGGGACCATTCACAGTGGAGCTTGGTTAAGACGTCGGCTGTGCTCAGGCCCTTTCTGAACCCGAACTGTTTCGCAGAGATGACATTGTGGGACTCCACGAAACTGGTTATCTCACGATTGACAATTGTTTCCATCACTTTGGATATGATAGACAGCAGAGACACAGGTCTGTAGTGTTGAGGCAGGTTCTTGGATTTCTTCTTGTGAATGGGACATCGCGCTCAGTAGAAGAGGACAGGTGTTCACGCTGCGTCAAAGAGTGAAAGATTGTGCTCTTTGACCCTCCATAGTTCCTCTGAGAGAGTGTCTCGGAGATAGGTAGCTTGGAGATGGCCGTAGAACGTGCTTTCCTGGACGCAATATTCAGCCATTTCTACTGTCTTCTTCAACTTGATTTATTTAAAAAAAATGTTCTTTTCCACGATTTCTGCACTGGACGCAATTGGGATCGAAAATCTCACCTGCGCAGACTGGCTGCGCAGTTCACGCGCTGAGATCCCTACCATAAGTACAACAAAGTGAATACCGGTATGTATCCCCGCGTGCCAAAGCATAATATGAGGATTTTGCGAGCATAATGCAAGAATCCATGAAAGCATAATTCCATGATTTCGCGAGCATAGTCTGTCCCCGGGGAAAATTGCGGAAAAAATCGCAAAAAACGCGGCAAAAAACGCGGCATAATATGGCATAATTTGCGGTGAATTTGCGGTAAATATGCGGTAAATATGCGGTGAATATTATTGATATCATCTCGCGGCGGCAAGTTTGCAGTTGATATGAGGCAATTTTCAGTGAGTATGTAGTGAAATCAATCAGTTACAAGTCTTTGGTGTAAGCGCTCGTCATATTTGAGTACAAAGCCGCCAGATGAGACGTTGCTGACCGAACAGTGCACTGTGTGTACGTGTAGTGCAACAGAAAAGTTCAAAAAACGCGGGAAAATCGCGGAAAACGCGGTCTTTTAAAAATCGCAAAAAACGCGAAAAAAAACGCGGCCGCGGAATCGCAATTTTCCCCGGGGACAGCATAGTCCGCCGGAGCCTAGCCGGCACCTTTTTTCTGTCTCCGTCTTTCAGTACTGTATACTCTCTGATGGCCTGTAGCAGACTTTTTGTTAGGGTGTAGGAGAAATATCTGCATTTTTCCTGTTTTGATAATGAAAGCACATCAATATACATTGTGGTCATAATGTGTTGGCATTTGGGCTAGTTTCAACAGCAGCCCAATGGTCTGCTCTGTGGGCCATGTGTTAAATTTGTTATCGCATGGCTGCGAGGGCCTTATGGCATATTATAGGTGCAAGCTCAAGCTGGATACAGATCTATTTCATTCCTTGGTGCTGACCGCTTTAATGCCCTTCCCGAATCCCTTCGCACAAATCATATCCCCAATTCATTTCGCCAGGAGCTTAACAATCTCATTCATCTTGGGCACCCTGTAAGAAGACCTTAGGGTCTGTTGGGAATGCCCAAGTAAAATTATAAAATACAATACATGTACAATACAATTATTGCCCCGAGGGCTAACCTCTCGGGGCAATAGTATGCCATATGGCCCTCGCAACCATGCGATAACATATACATACATGTACTTAGTTATGGCAAATGAAAAAGAATTTGAGAAACTGATCACTATAGCCAGTATATTACTATAGCCACCAACCTTATAGATGATACTGACTGTATTCATAAGTTGAGGGAATGGAAAAGGGAAGAAAGTGAGATACATGAGAGTTGTGCGAACTAGACATACTACAAAACAAGCAGATGTTCCAGAAAGCACTCAGGGAAACACCCCAATGCCATTTAAAAGTGCAAATATAAACAATAATAAGAAGATCAAAAAGTTTTTTTTTAAACGTTTCACGCACTAAACGATCATCAGAAAACAGCAATGATTAAATCTGGATACAAGTTTAGTACCCACAAAGCAACAGTGTAGATGACAGCAGTCGTGAAAGATTGCATCATGGCGTAAATTTAACCAGCTCCGCCTTTCGGTATTGAGCACTCTATTGGACAGCCTGGAAACTCTCTGTTTTATAAGTGCAAATATGAATTGAAATTATTCTATTCTCGAGGACGGGTTATCATTTCTGGAAGACAGTCTTTGTCAGTGTGTTCACATTTAAGGCGACAGCCTGTGTGTACGAACTTGAGGTTCTTCTTTCTAAACAACAGACCGAAGAAATAGTCGATGTTCACCTCAATGAGCCCCTTCTCTTTCACCACTTCCTCTGCAGCTTTGAGGAGGTTCGGTAGGACAGAGCGTGATATCTCAATCCTGGACAACAGAGACATAACATAATAATCATGCAAGTTCTCTAGAATTTCTCCGTGACATCCCAATAAAACCTTCGTGACAGAAAGCCCTAAAACTTAGGCTAAAAGCAATAATCAATGTAAGCAAAGTGCCATACCCGTAGACCATATGGAGCTTGAAAGTGATGATGTCAGTAGTCCATACATAGTCCCCTTTGGGGTCACATTTGATCCACATACAGTGCTGCAGATTAGTATGGTATTAGCCTTAGACTATCTGATGGGTAGGACCATTACACTATTTTCTATGCAAGCTGTGTTCGCCCGACTCCAGGGCCTAGTCTAGAAATGGCTTTTCACACGACAAGAAAAAGTCACATCTTCTCGGCCTCGCGCGAGGATCACCAAGGTGTTCATGGATTGGCGGCAAGTCTGAATTGCAGACCCGTAGCCCTGTCCGCTACACCCTGACCCCAGTTTGTGCGTTTTTGATTTCGGTTTCTCGCTTCCTGTGCGGGTTTGTGTGCGCTGTGTCGGCAGAGCTAGTCGTCGTGTGAAGTGTCATGCCGCGCATCGTAGAACCATAGGAGGGTGCAATCGTGAGCACGAACCGTCGTGTGAAAGGCCTATTACTACCAGACGATGTGTTACCCTGCTGCAAAGGAAACGTTTTCAAGGGTGCATGCAGGTCCATAAGGACCGGCTCTGACTTGGCCAAGACACGCATATCACCTTGATGCTCCATTGCAAGCGGCCACGTGGCGCTGGCCGTGCAGCTGTAAGCACTTCTGGTCCATTTTTACAGTCGACCCCGGTCATTCTACCGGATTTCAATGTTCGCAACAGTAATTTGTAACACATGGCATGATGCGCAAAAGCAGAATTTACGCACCGCACATACTCACCCATGGTCAAATTCCCATCTGGAGAAATTACAGCGTTCCGTTAGACTGCTGTACGGATTGATGACATGCTTGTCCATACAACCGTCCTGGTTATAGATTCCCTGGCAGGAGAAATAACCATCTGCATCACAAAAGCGATAGACGCTGGTACGATCAAAGTAGCCCTGAAAGTAATTGCAGTCAGCATGATTGAGCTTGTCTGTCAAATCTTTGACTGCCTCGTTCAGGATATTCTTGACTGCTTCAGGTGTTTTTTCGTCATTAGTGCGGGCGTTTACGTAGTCATTAGTCTCACTCAGATAGTTGGTGATACGACCTCGTGCCCTGTCCCTGGACACACAAACACAATAAAGTCGAATAACATGGGACACAAACTTAGCGGTTTTTGCTTCGATTGAATTCTAGCACTACCAAGGCCGGGAAGAATACTGCTGTGCCGAGTTGCCAGAGACATAAACATCCTGAAATCGGATCTCAGGATAACATGTTGCACGTATTGCTCTTGTATAATGGATGGTTACCACACCAGCAATAATTAAACAATATTGAATAGATACCTATAATGAATACCCCCGGATGCAGGGCATCCTATTTACGTCGCCAAGCACACTCATCACTTCTTGATCAATGCCGCTTCAATGATTTGTAGGCTGGATGCATCAATAATAGTGTGTTCTGCGTCGTTTGCAGGCATGATTGGTAAATATTATTTTCATTTTATAGTAAAGAAAATTGACCAAGAAACTACAAGCTACGCTACAATGTCCACTAACACCACCAGTTACTAAACAACCAGTGGACATTATAGCATAACTTGTAGTTTCTTGGTCCTTTTTCTTTACTATAAATTTATCCTTGGCTCTCCATCCGAGTCCATTATTTTTAATATTTATAATAACGACCTACTTCTTTCGTAGGGATGTCAATTGAATAATTAATTAATTATCCTATCCAGGATGGGAACTAACCGTATTGCGTGACCGATCCTTTCAATGTTCTTATCTTTCCCTTTCTTTTTCCATCTGGACTCCTCTTTGGTTTCCTCTTTTCTCTCTAGCTATTCTATTGTACTGCCTTCTTGCCATTATTCACTGATGTGCGGCTTTGAATAAATCATGGTTTACACTGTAATGACTACAACCGCTGAATGGGTTTACGAAAAGGCTGAGAGCTACGATAACAGGGTTCTAGCCAAAGGGGGGGGGGCTTGAGCAGCCCCCCCCCCTTCATACTCTAATGGACTACCACCCTACCACTGCTCCTTAGTTTTTCCATTGTTGTGTTTTTCAGTTTACACGGCAATAGTGTGGTCATATATTTTTTGTTGCAGGTGCTCTGTGCACCTGTACCTTGCATTTTTTGTGCCAAAGCAATGGTGGGACATGGAAACTTGAAATGGGTGGGGGGGGGGGGTCAACCAGTTTAACCTTCGCAACCACGTCACATCTCCTACCCGAGTGACCAGCAGCACTGCCACACTACTGGATCTATTCTTGTCTACCACCCCGATCCAGGGTGTTTGTGAGACTATACATTTGGATATCGGTGACCACTCTGCAATACTTGCCAGGCTGCCAATTTCAGCAAGTCACCACTTGAAGGGACAGCATCTGCGCAAGACTCGTTGTTTGCACAAAGTGGATTGGAATATGTTTACATGTGACCTAACTACCTGTGACTCTGTCTGTGTGGATGTGCTTGCGTCGTCACTCACTGCGGGAATCCAGACCACTCTAGACAAACATGCTCCACTTCGAGAACGGCGCCGCAAATCTCGACGTCCTTGCCCCTGGATTACAGATGAGTTAGTGGCAAGTGTTCGTGAACGAAACCTGGCGCATCGTCTCTGGCTCCGAGACAAAACCGATCAGAACCTTCAAGAAGCACACCGATCAGCTCGCTCCAAAGCACAGAAGTTGGACAGGAGTCTGCGCAACTTGTACTTCACTAAGACTTAGAGATGTGATACATCAGATCAACGGCAACTTTGGGCTGTCATGAACGATGTCACAGGCCGACAGAAGACGCGGAAAGAACCTGAAGCGCCGCTTGAGTCACTCAGTAAATTGTTTGGAGACATTGTGCATGACCCTATGCGGCCACCTGAGCTGCATATACCACATGGTCCAGCCTCTGCATCTAGCTTCTCAACATTTCAGCCGGTAAGCGTGTCTGATGTTGCACAATGCTTGCAAACTGTGAGTACTCACAAAGCATCCGGGAGTGACAACATTCCTGGAATTGTACTGCAGCAGTGTTCAGACGTCCTGGCACCTCCATTTACCACCCTAGTCAATGCATCCTTGACATCAGGTACTGTGCCAGTGTGTTTTAAAACATCACACATTAGTCCACTGTTCAAGAGTGGCAATGCAACATCCCCTACTAACTATAGGCCAGTGTCATTGCTCCCTATTCTGTCCCGGATTTTGGAGTTCTTTGTAAAGAAGCAACTCACAGCATACCTCACGCAACATAGCATATTACCTAGCAGTCAGTTTGCCTACAGGAAAATGCACTCTACCGAAGATGCAATAGTTCTAGCCGCCAACCGTTGGCTGTTGGCCAAACAAGAGCAAAAATACACAGGTATTGTGAAGGTTGACATGTCAAAAGCGTTTGACCGTGTCCAACATCAACGTCTGATTGATAAACTATTCACCCTGGGAGTCAATGACAGAGTATTGTTATGGTTGGCTAGCTATCTGTCTGGTCGTACTCAGCGTGTCAAGGTGTGTGAGGCTCTCTCTGATGCAGTCCCATGCTCAAGAGGTGTGCCCCAAGGCAGTGTTCTTGGGCCGCTTCTCTTTGTCCTTTACACGAGTGACATTTCCGACGTCATACCTTGCATTGTTGTTCATCAGGAGTTCGCGGACGACATCATCCTAGATTATTCTGATTCAGATCTGGACACTGTTTGCAAGACGTTGACTACGGCTGTGACACGTCTGTCTGACTGACTCTCCGAAATTGGGCTTCTGCTGAATACCGGCAAAACCCAAGTCATGGTAATTCAACCTCGGGGACTCACTGGCGACATACCAGTCGTGAAATGTAAGGATCAAGCCTTCACTGTTACCTCCACTGCCAAATACCTTGGCATAACCGGCATTGATGACCAGCTATCCTGGCAGCCACATGTCTCCAGTGTTGTGCAGAAGGCGTCTGTCGCCATCAGCCAGCTATGGCGCCATGGGCGATCTCTGCCCATAAGAGCCCGCAGACTTTGGTACATTGGCATTGTGCAAGCACGACTAACGTACGCATCCAATGCATTCTTCCCGCCGCTGACACAGTAGCTGCAGAGTCGTTTAATCAAATCCAGCAAATCCGGAATTCGTGAAATTTTCCGACTCTCCAGCCGTGCATCCACAGCCCCCCTCCTCGTGCGCTTATCTATTCGATCCCTAACTCACATTTTTAACTACAAGGTTTTGTTTTTTTGTTTTCCGTTGCCTACATGATCTTGCAAGTCCTCTTTTCTGCACCTACTTTCAGTTGATGGCTAATACAGGCCAAGCATCCCGGGATGATCGCCAAATTACTCGAGGACAGGAACAGCGGCTACTGCAAGTGCCTTTGTTGTTGTTGTTGTTGAAATTTTATTTTGTATCGCAGACCAAACGGGCAATGGTGCCCAATATTATGATGGCGATAAAGTAACGGCCGAGAGCCAATGATACAACAAGCAAGCCTCCACGAAAGAGAGAAAAACACAGAAAACACAGACTGCAAATACTCAAAAAGAAAAAAGAGAAAGGGAAAAAAAGAAAAATAAAGAAGAAGAAAGCACAGTTGAGTCACAGTTGAGTCACGACTCCAAGTCCAAGCCTAGATGCTGGCTAACCATAAAAATAAACCTTTAAAAGTCTCTTGAATGATATATGGCAGGCGAGGGACTTGAACTCTTGGGGCAGGGCGTTCCATAATTTAACAGCAGAAACGAGCGGCCGACAGTCACCAGAGACTCGCCTGGTGGCAGGGACAACATACGCATTTGGATCGTTGATCCGAGTGACGCCTTCAGTCTGGTGACGTAGGCGCTTGGACAGGAGATTACTAATTCTGGCGGTGTGGATACGAAGCATGAGGAGGCGGAGTTTACAGTGGGCGTTTTGGATGATGGGGATGAGGCCTAGACGGGTGTAGATGGGATCTGTGTGGGAGGGGAATGGCTGGTTGGCAACGCAGCGGATACATCGCTTGTCGAGGACCGAAAGCTGATGCCGTTGGTGCGCAGAGAGAACCGAGAAGAAGGCATTAGATCCATACAACATGTCCGGTAGTATTAACGATCTGTAAAATAGCAGGGCTTGTTGCTCAGTTAAGCAGGAGCGAATGGCTCGCAGCGCCGTCAGTTTCTGGGAGGTCTTCCGTATAATAGTTGCAACTTGAGTCTCCCACCGAAGCTGGGTGTCGAGATGTAGACCTAGATATCGAGCATTTGTGGTCTGAGCTAGGGGATTTCCATTGCATTCTATGTTAAGTAACGAGGGCTGCCTGCGAGACGCATGAAGGGCTAGAACGTGGGTTTTGGAGGGATTTAGTATTAAGCCTCTTTCTTCCAGAAAGTTGGCCAGGTTGGAGACTGAACGGGAGAGGGTTAAATTCAAGAATTCGACGGATTGACTGATGGCGTCTAGCAGGATATCATCAGCAAACAGCTGTGAGTGGGCTGGAGCTGTGATCTGTTCTATTTCCATTGTGTAGATGGAGAACAAAAGAGGACCCAGCACACTTCCCTGAGGAACACCACACTCACAGGGAGAGAGGGCGGACGACTGGCCATTGCTCAGGACGACTCGCTGATGGCGGTCAGTTAGGTAGCTCATGAACCAACTGAGAGCCGTTGAGGTAATACCAAGCTGAAATAGATCTGTAACCAAAACTTGGTGTTTGACCTTATCGAAGGCCTTGCTCATATCGACAAGTACAAGACCTGTATGGCGCTGCTGATCCGCTGCCTCCAAGTATCTGTCTACAGCCAATGTCAGGGCATCTTCTGTGGAGTGAAGTGGGCGATATGCGAACTGGTTTGCGGGGAACAAGGAATTTCCGGAGAGGAACTTACAGAGTCTCGTGTGGACTACCCGTTCCAGGACTTTGGAAACTATTGGTAATAACGATATTGGTCTATAGTTCTTAGCGACAGCTTTGTCGCCTGACTTGAAGAGGGGACGAACATCCGCAATCTTCAGAGATGCAGGAACAACACCAGAAGCCAGAGATGCATTGATTAGTATGGTGAGGGACGGTGCAAGGACAGGAGAACAGTGTTTGAGGATTGCAGCTGGAACCTGGTCGCTGCCTGCAGCTTTGCGCACGTCGATGTTGGAGAGCAGCTTAGCGATCTCTTGCACACTTGCTGGAGCAAATTCTTCGAGGCATTCCTTCTTCGTGGGACCCAATGGGGCTGAGAGACGTAGTGGTCTAGTTCGGTCTGGCACAACACCGCTGAATTGGTCACTGAGCTGTGAGATACTGACGGCTGGTGGAACTGAGGACTTGTTACGACCGCTGAGGTAGTTGATGGTCTGCCAGGTTTTTCGTGCGTTGGCCTGACTAGCAGCAAGAAGGTCCCTGAAGTAGGTGGCTCGGAGATGTCGTGACATACGCTTGGCTTCGTCTCGGGCAGAAGTGAAGACATTGCGTAGTGCCGGGTCTGCAGGTGATGCTTTCCACCGTCGATGGGCCGCGTCACGTCGCTGGACTAGGTCATGTAGAGCTGGCGTCTTCCAGGGGAAGGATTTCCGGGTAGGAGCTCTTGGGCGGTGTAGACGGATAGGAGCATGAGTGTTCAAGGCAGCGACAAGTTTCTCCAGCCACATATCCCACATTTCATCTTCTGTCCGCGTAAAGCAGAAGTTCTCTAGATCGCTATTTAGAAGGTGGTGTGCAAATTGACCCATATCAATTCTTGCAATGTTACGGCCACGTCGCACGGTCGGTGTGCAGGACGTTGTGAGTCGCAAATCAAGTGCCAGAGCGAAGTGGTCACTGATTGTACAAGGTACTACGACACAAGAGTTCACATGATCGTCTCTGACCAGAGCGAGATCCAGGGTTGTTTGGCTGCCTTGGGGTCCAATTCTGGTAGGACTGTCCACTTGGTTCTTGATGTCGAAAGAATTACACAGGTGCAGCAAGCTGTTTAGCTGGGGGCTGTCGCGGGAGCTTACATCGACATTGAAGTCTCCAACAAGGACCAGAGGTGACGTGGGAAGTGTGGAGATGACAGTGTCTAGTGCATTCGTCAAGTCTTGCCAGAATTGCACAGGAGTGCCTGGAGGACGGTACACACCACCAAGGAGAACCTTGGAACGCTGCCCACTGACCTCTAACATGAGCATTTCCACCTGGGTGTCAGCCTTCACAATTCGGGCTCGGAGATGATCTCTTACATATGCTGCTAAGCCTCCGCCATGAGTTGGCCTGTCGCGTCTGACCAGGGTGTAATTCTGTATGCGTAGGATGTCATCGGAAACGGAGGTTGTTAAGAAAGTCTCTGCCAGCATCATTATATCAACTTTATGGGAAAGAATATAATCTTCAATTTCATGCTTTTTATTGAGAAGATGGCAAACATTTAGGAATCCTATTTTGAGGTTACTTTTAATTAATTCATGCTGTAGGGGATTTACCGTGGGGCAACTATTTCGTGGCTGAAAGATAGGTGCATGAGGGTTTAAGGGTTGAAAGGGGGCTGCGTGAGGATTTAAACAGAACATTATTTTAGTGCTCCTCTGCAGCTCGACCAGTTGCTACACTGTCAGCCTTGAAGCGCCATTCTCGAACTCTGACGTTTGAAGGCCAGAATTCCGGTTCCAGAACAGTAGCTTTGTGTTGTATTGGCAGAATTACGTGAGCAAAGGCCAACCCGAAGTACTTTGTCTCAGACACGGAGCACTTGATGACAGGTATATTTCGGCGTTCACACCATTTGGCGATCGATTCTGATGTGCACCCACTATTGACATTGCCCACATACAAAGCGCAACATTTTGTGCGGGACCCTCCCTGTAGTTGATCAGAGCGCTTGGGCCGGTTTTCATAGTACGACGTGACCTGAGTGCCTGGGTGACTTGTTTGGGGTCGTGTAGTACTGGCCTGCTGGCTGGGGCCTCCCCATGTGTTATCCCGTGCTCGCACCTGTGACGACTGTGCACGTGCCGCCGCGCTGTACAATCTGACGCTGTCAGCAGGCGGTTGTACACGTACGGGTTGAGGTTCAGGTGTGCTAGTTTGTACAGGGTCATGATCAGAGTTCCTTTCTTTGAGAGCCGCCAATTCTCCTCGAAGGGACGACACCTCCAACTGCAAGGCAGAAATTAGGGCTACCTTGGCGGCCAATTCTTTAACATTTTTTGCAATATCGGCCAATGCCTGCTGAACAACATCGCGCACCTTGTCAGACTGACCTGCTGAGTTTGTCGACGAACTAATACCGTTGTCGCGAAGAAGCTTGACTATCTGGGTACGGAAAAGTCCCGAGTGTTCCAGTCTATGACTCTTGGCGAGATGCCGGATCTCCTGATTGTCCATCACAGCAAGGTCTACATCTGCTGGTGCGGTGGGAGACTCCTCAGACGACATTGTCACATCAAGGGGCCTGTTATGCCTACCTCCAGACCGGCCTAGTGCCGGTTGGGCTTGAAAATTTGCAGAGCTCAAAAAGTCACAACTGCCCCGTACTCTGCATTCTTTCCTTCCTGAACCTTCCGACCTCGTCAGTCATTGACATTTGTGGGAAGCACTCTTTGGAATGCCCTTCCCAGCGATATTCGCCTCCACAGTGCGGCGTTTGCCTTTAAACTGGCTCTGAACAGAATTAATTGTAATTTGTAACCACCTTGCTCGGCATCCCTACACATTACTGCATGTTTTCTCTGTGTGTTCTTCACTGCATGCTTACACATACACACACCCATTTGAATTATATACAAACTTTGTGCTTTGGAATTATCATGTTAGGCCAAACTAAAGAAGGTGTGTGGTTCGACTAACATGGACATTTTTTTTACGGGCGGGCGGGCGGATTTTTTTTTTAAATATATTTTTTAGTACATGTAAATACACTGTACTGCCTTTGTTTAGACACCCAGTACATCGGCATTATTACGCAGTGTTATGCCATACATGTTGTATAAAGGGATCACTGGCTAATACTTTGAAACATTGTGTAGCTCTGGAACGAGAAGAGAATAACTTCAAGCGGTGACTCTGACTGTCCAAATCATCAAGCAAATGAAGAACGATGCGAGTTGAAAGTAAGTTCGGGAACTACTTCGAAGTACAAATTGTACAATGTACCGGTACATGTATTGCTAGTTTGGTGTCGGCGTGCACGAATACATGGGCTTTTTTCCATCGACGCTTCCTGTGCTTGCACACATGGAGCAGCAACTTACCGGTACAGGTGAAATATCGTTCCCAATACACGAGGAAAGTGCAATCTCGTCTGTCCTTCATCCCAAAACAGAAGGCCGTCCTTAATCTGGAACGAGGCAATCACTCTCAACCGGACGGTCACTTCAAAATAAGTCTCGCCAGTCTGCCGGTGGTCGTATCGAGTAGACTCTACTACCAGCACAAGGCAGCAGTCGTACCACTCACTGCACTGCACTGCAGTACAACTACAAGTCAAGTCCAAAAGGAGCCGCCTAGCGCCTACGTCCGCAGACTCACGCTGCACAGCACGTAGACGTGGACGTGTTCAGTCCACGTACGTCAGTCACACGACAGCCCGCCGAAAAAAAGTTACGGTCGGGCTGAAAATTGTACGGTCGGTCGGGTGAGTCGAACCACAGACCTTCTTCAGTGTGGCCTTATGATTGTTTTTAATATTTCCTTCTCTCATAATATTATATTCGTCACACAAGTTCTTAGCAGGAACCGGAGGGTTTTCCTCTGGTGAGAAGGCAGAATTGCCTGTGCTCTAAACGAATTCAAATAAAAGAAACAAACAAACAAAAAATTGGTAATCTGTTCCCCTCCAATGTTTCCTAGCTAGAACCCTGTATAATCTAATTTTTCAGTTTTTTTCTTTTCGTGATGTGCCCATAATTATGGCTATAGCAGTGGTTACCTCATGAAATCTTCCTTCGTTTTGAATCTTTTAGTAGGATCATTGATGTCGCTGAACCAATCAGGATCTTTTTCACGTGTTGACGCCTTGGCCTTGCTGCTGATGACTCGGACCGAGTCTTCGACAGCTACCACCATTTCCTTATCTTCCGGGTTCAGGCTGAGATCCCTGAACTTTTGGAGCAGGTGTTGACCTATAAACATATTTTTAAACCAAAAAAAATGAGACCATCCCAGTTACATGACTTTGTGTCTATGTACGAGACATGATTTTTGGCACGTACGAGCCAGACCAGGATGATGTGTAGCACGTAAAAGTTTGACCAAGAAAAATTGATACTGAGAAACATTTCATGGATTGGTTCACATTCCAGTTATCCTATTGTCCTTTTTTCCATCCTCGGGGACCCCACAAACCTGGGATCAACGGTATCAGAAGAAGTTCTCAAATGTCCTTTTTGTGGGACTTCGGTTTTAAAGAGGTTCTC